TAACTAATAAGTTGCAAGTATGTGTATTTGTATTAATTAACTAATAACTCTCAGTTGTGTGTATGGCGTATTGTATTTACTAACTAATAACTCGTACGTTGCAAGTACGGCGTATTTGTATTAACTAATAACTCGTACAACTGCTGTTGTCTCTGTAGTATATCTGTAAAAGACAAGGAAAAGATTGCAGTATTATAAATCTTAATTTTCCCCGTTTCCCCATGCCAAAGACCACAATAACCCAACCTCGACAAAATCTAAATTTTATATTAATCAGAGAACCCTTTTTTTATTTTAGTGGTAGAGAGTTTAATGCCCCGCGCTCATTCTTCATGCTATACCGCCTGAATTTTTTTTTCATCTGAAAAGTTCTCATTAAAGTAAATATACAGTAGGTCATTTCCGGATATCCCATCATGATGCACGTGATATGACTGACCAATCAACGATGGGAATTTTACCCTACTGGGAACGAGGCCGAGGCACTACTATTGAAAACTTTCAACTTAGTCTAGTAAAGTTCCTGTTGCCTTTAATTTTACTCATATACACATCTGCCAGAAACAATCAAGCTTCGGAAAAGATTGGAGACGTGGCAAAGGAGGATGCCCGTCTGGAAACCATCATGCCTCCGACAGGGTGCCGACGAGTCAGGTATGTAGAGTGTTTTAGCCTTCAGGTTACCGATTCGCTGGAAATGTTGACCCTGAATGACTGTCAGTGTCTGGTCAGAGATGGTCTCATCGTTTATAGACAGATACTCTCGTCGTGTAAACATGAGTAATATAATATATTAGTACGTGATTAGAATGCAAAGACATGGGCGATCAGTATAGCGAGCGAGACTCGTCAAATGGACTTGACATAATTGAGTGGCCACAGACTTCGAAGGGCACATCGCCATATTTTTATCGGTGAATGGTCGCACTGTATACATCTGCAGTGACACACAGTCTGCTCGTCAACATTCCACGAGTTTCATTCACATAGTGCTCAGTGTATTGATATTGACTGAATGGCCTGTCTACCTAAACGCTTCCGTTTAACTAGTAGAAAAAGAACGGACGGATCAGGTCAGGTGCCTTTTTGGCATGTTTGGAATGTTGTGTGTATCAGTCTTTCTACGTTCATGGCCAGAGAAGTGTAATGTGTGAAGTTCTCTTACAACATGGAGCTAAAAAAGATCTATTTAGCTCCATGATTACACTGACACTGAGTGTTGATGCATTGCGTTGCATATACACAAGTAAAAACAATCAAAACTGTTTACTACTAATAATAATAATATGAATAATAATACATAGTGTATAATGCTTGACTCATCAATCACACCAAACCAATTTTGAAATTGTATGATATACAAATTAAAAGAGATTTAAATATATCTGAAATACACGAATTATGTCACAAATTGGTTTATCTTAGGCCACAACAAATTGTGCACTTCTAAAGCTAAACCAGGTAGCCCCCCACCAAATATTGGATATATCAGTGTTCCTTATTTCAGTTTGAATTGTAACATTTTTAAATATTTATAAAGATGAAGGGAATGGGTTTGTTGTGCTGGGAGTAAAAGACAGTTTTAAGTGCCATGTCTAAGTTCCCAGTGGTGGTGTTTGAATACAGCAATCTAAGCGTTGTCATATATGGTAGAATATCACATAAACTTCACATATTATTTCCAAACCAGTCAAAGTTGAATACATATTGTTCATCGTTCATGTTAATTGACAGTTGCTGCACCTATTCGATATGAGCCCATTAGTGATGTACGCAACTTGTGTCATTTACATTGTTTGTTTACACAAAATTCAAACACATGTTGCATGACCACCTTCTAATTTGTTTTAATTTAGTGCTAATTCATACAGACATGAAGTTTCAAATAATTATTATATAGGTCAGTATACTTGAAATGGCATTCAACATGTTATATTCAGGTTGTACTGCAAATAAAACTCAACAAATGTTTGTCAAACCTGTACTTTAAAACTTCTTGTCAAGAAAATATATTGATATGCCTTTGACCTATATACTTTTAACTACCTTGTACTATAATACACGTACCCTGTTTGGCCCTTAAATCACATAGCTTTAAGAGTGTGTTTATTGTAGACTAGAATGCATCTTGGTTGTACCACTAATCGGACACCAATATACCTCAATTAACCTCAAATACCAAATAGCTACTGAGTGCCAAAAACCCACAACACTCACTTAGTGATCACTTCTTGTGTCATTGTGTTTACTTACTCAAATGCAATGGTTATATCAATCGAGGGAACAGTTGATGCAATAACAGGAATGAATCGTGTCTTGTGACGTTCTTGCACCTAACCAGATCTTGGCAACCATTTTCAGCTAAGATAGCTACATAATGGAGCAGCTGATGCAACATACCACTGGTCTACAGGGATGTGTGCCCCAATAATTAAGTTAGCCATAATGAATGCATACATTGTACCTATAAATTGACTGGTTTTATTTGACCTAACCCTGATTTGAAAAGAAAAAAATTCAACATGACCATTGTTTATATTTGTTTCAATGTAAAAAACAAACACTGATAAACAATATCAAAACTTATTATCAAAGTATGTGTGAAAGGACTAATTTTACAATCAAAATAGTCTAATGTTGCTATTTTTATTATATATTTTTTACTTAATACATTACTATGTTTTCTATTTACATTTAAATTTTTACATTACAATTTTTCATTTCAATTTTTCAACTTCATTGATGTACATAACCAAAAAACAAATGTAATATTTTCTTTACAGTGTCAATAAAGCACTATTCTATTCTATTCTATTCTATTCTATTCTATTCTATTCTATTCTATTCTATTCTATTCTATTTTATTCTCTAGAATTGTTGAATCTTCCGACCATTAAAAGAAAAGGTTGCACACTCTTTTGATATTATGTCTGCCTCAGGGTTAATTTTGATTGAATCACTGGGATATGGCAATATTGGTCTGTCATGAATTTAAAAAATGTTGTGATCAGTATGTTTGTATCACAAAGTGGACTAATTAGTGCAATGTATGGAACACTACACGATGTGTTACTCATGCTAATAGACATTGGTCAAACATCTGAATCTTTAATCTATATAATGCTATGAAATCAACTTAGTTAAATTTTTATTTTTTGCAATCATAGGTGTTTTGATCATAACATTAATTAATGAACATTCTGTTTGCATTGCAACACATATATAATTGATGATCAAAAATGAATGAGTAAAAAGTAGCCTTAAATTTTAAAGTTTACTGAGCACTTAACCAGTACTTTATATGTAGAATGTCAAATCATTTCCATACACACAAAAAAGACAAACTTTATCCCCAGTTGAGCAACTAATTTTTGCACCTGATGATCATTTTAAAAGTAAACCTCTGAATTTTGCAAACATTCTGTTCAGACTTTCCTCTTGTTACTGACTACCGGGTAGATTACATTCCACAGTGTTAATATATGGCAGCAAACATATACTGTATTTTCATTTGCTCCATCCCATGGTTCTGTCGCATTTTCAAGAGAGATGCTATTTCTTTCAAAAAAAATGAAGTAAGGAATTCTGGAATAAATTTACATCTCAATAAATGTTTGAAAACAAATTTGCATAATTGTAATTCAGTTTTCATCCGATGCACTGATTAGTGTCTCAAAGTCATCAATCTTAACTGGGCAAGAGTATGGTATACTCCTGATCCTACATGTACAACATTATATTAATTATAAATCAAGAAGACGTGTACATGCAGTGAAGTTTATGAATTACTGGTATACATGTATCTAAAAAATAAAGAGCAATGCTAATTTATCTGAAGAGATTTTCTGTATTTACAGAGCAAAACACAACAAAGACATAGTTTGCATCATTGGAATGGTATCTTAAATACTAGTAGTCCTGGAGATATCGCAACTAAATTGATTCGTGGGTGGCGGGAAGTGTGAGGACGAATAAACAATTTGATTTGGAATATGGTTTGTTTGGAAACTCAGTGACAGTGGCAAGATTTGACACTAAAACAAAACAATAATTCATGGTAGACACAACTAGTTTTTATGACTTTCTTTTTCGACCATTACAATTATTGTCAGTCAACTATCAATCGCTTTAAAACCCACCCACAAAAGTCTCAAATTTCTTTTCACTTTTGTTGCTATTTTTTCCATTTCAGTATCTCCTAATTGAGCTGCTGTCTTTGCAGGTCTTTCATGTTAAATTTGGTCATCCATCCATATAACAATCAACGATTTTATTTTCTCTGCAGTAAATTTAAGTCTAAAACTTGGAGCAGTCTAAGGCCGGCCTAATTTTCTGATGTGAAACCACCTAATTCGCAGTGCATGATGTGAAGGATTTCGGCACTATATAAATTATCATTATTTATATCATTTGTACATATTTGAAATTCTTAATGTGCAACTTAATGGTCTACAACTAATTAGCTAGGAATTGGTGTTTCACATTTTATGTTTCCCAAGTGCATGTCTTGTACTGTCTTCTTGTTTTCAGTGAATGATGGTGAGGCACATCATTTTGTATTCATTTATATAGTGGTTTGAGTCCTTCCATAGATCACTTTAGTATGGGTGGGTATGGGTATGGGTGTAAAATGGCCAGCTGTGTTATGTTGTAAAACAACTTCCTGCCCTCCAGTGAAAGATATGACACAATAAATCACATCCTTTCAACAAATCTAAACAAGGGTAGTGATAAATGGTATGCAGACATACTTGAGTAGTTTTCAATTGGGGTCAAGAATTGAAATGCTGATCACTATAAAATGTAGGCCTCAATTTCATTTTGGTTGTAAATACATGTACATATCTGTAAGATTGTAATAGTGTTTAATTGTATGAGGCCAGTTACAGCAAGAGATTATTTGCTCAGATAAAATAAATAATGTTGTATACAGACTTTAATTATTAGCTTGATTTTATTTTGGTTTACTATAAAATATTTTTTTAGCCTGAATTATTTTTGGCTGAAAAGACTTGTTGGGTGTTTTGTATGGAGTTTATTTTCATTTACTTTTGACGAGTTGAATGTAAAATATAGGAAAAAGGGTACATTCACTGGATTTTATTTTCACTGAAATTGATAACTGTCTGGATAATTAAAATAATATAATTATAATGATATACAGGAGTTCACTTTGATTATGAGCAGTGTGAATAAAAGCTGACAGATTGATAATATGCTAGGTTAGGGTGTCACTGTTGATAATATGCTAGGTTAGGGTGTCACTGTTGATAATATGCTAGGTTAGGGTGTCACTGTTGATAATATGCTAGTTTTTGGTGTCACTGTTGATAATATGCTAGATATGGGTGTCACTATTGATAATATGCTAGGTTAGGGTGTCACTGTTGATAATATGCTAGGTTAGGGTGTCACTGTTGATAATATGCTAGGTTAGGGTGTCACTGTTGATAATATGCTAGGTTAGGGTGTCACTGTTGATAATATGCTAGGTTAGGATGTCACTGTTGATAATATGCTAGGTTAGGGTGTCACTGTTGATAATATGCTAGGTTAGGGTGTCACT